TCTTAAAAATATAAAATGCCTAATAATGCTTCAGGAAGAATGTTGTGGATTCCACTACCTTTTGCATGATATTTTTCCCCAGATTTCATTCCTAACTAGCCTGAGTTTAATCTCAACACTTCTTTATTTCAGATATGCGTCGCAAATTAGCAGTTAATTAGCATTGCAAATATTATATCCATGAGGCTTGAATTCATTATCAATACAACGTGTAGTGTTTTTGCTTTTTGTCAGTCATGTCATGGATCGGTTCCATCCATTTTCTGCGTTACATCAATATGTGAACTGCATTTATGCTTTGATGGCACTGTAGTAAACAAGAACCACGCCATTCAGGATCAGACATTGCACAGAAAGTTGACTGATACACAAGACCAGAAAGTGTTGCACCATATACCACATCTGTATTAACCTGGATCTGAAGATGGAACTAAGTGTAATCTAGCCTACACCTTTAAAACTATAAAGCCTTCATTGCTGTAAATAGACAGGCACTGAAGTTATTACAGGTTAAGCCTTTGGGTGTAATGTAGGTCAGTTAGAGAGCAATATTTACTTTGTTAACAACTGCTTGTTCCAAGTCAAAGGCTTTCTATCCCCTGCCTTTCAAGTCTGTTGTAAATTTGCATTTGTGACAAAGAGCAATGCCTGAGGTGTAACAAAAGCATTTCAAATGTTTTATGTATCAGGTGATCTTGTGCCGCATAAAACAGCAGAGAATATATGGTAAATAATGATAGGATGGTTTTACATGACAATACTCTCATTGCAATCAACCACCCATTTTTGAGTGCACTCTGCCTAAGATTGAAGGAGATTTCCAGCTGGTTATGATGTGGAGGTGCTGATGTTGGACTGGGGTGGACAAAGTCAGAAGTCATGTGACACCAAGTTATAGTCCAACCGGTCTATTTGGAAACACACAGGCTTTTGGCGTACAGCCCCTTCTTCAGGTACAGTGAGAGAGCAGGGCGCACAGACACGGAGTTTATAGGCAGAGAGATCAAGGGCTGAGAGATCAAAAGATCATACAACTGGTGTGAGTGGAGTGTCAGATAATACGTCCCTGCAGGGGACCAAGAGTGTTAGACAGTGTGTAAAGTGTTAATAAAGTCAATGTCAGAGCCTGAGCTGTCATGGCAATCAAGCAGAGTCATAGGAATATACAAAAGGTGACAGCACAGCACTAACAGTGATTTTATTAACACTTTACTCACTGTCCAACCCTCTTACCTGACACTTCACTCACACCAGTTGTATGATCTTTTGATCTCTAGCCCTTGATCTCTCTGCCTCTCACCTCTGTGTGTCCTGTTCTCTCACTGCACCTGATGAAGGCGCTGTGCTCCAAAAGCTTGTGTGATTCCAAATAAACCTGTTGGACTATAACCTGGTGCCATATGACTTCTGACTTTGTCCAGCTGGTTAGTGTAACAGATGTTGAAATTCTGAGTTACTCCACATTATCATGGTGCCATACAAAATGGGGAACACACCAGTGCTAATGTACATCCATGTGAAGGACAGCAAGTCCTCTAAGATGATTCTGAAATGGTTAAGTCTTACTGACAAGTATGTAATAGTACCATTTTGGGTGGTTTTTGTGTCAATCGGTAAGCAGGTTTGGTGCCTCTGAGTTCTGATGATTTTAATTGTAAGATTCCTTAACTGGCCTCACTCAGCACTGCCTCACTGGCTCACTATGCACCATTTTCTAGCTTAGGGTGTGAACATCATAACTGAACTCCGAATTAAAGTGAGCCGCACCCTAGAGGAGCAGCCAAATACACACACACACACACACACCCCCAGACAAAGGGAAAAAACTTATTGAGGTGTCAGGGGTCTACAGTGTCAGTGAGAGACCCATTCTGCCTCTTTTTGGAAAGGCCCACAAGTCAATAAAGCAGTGGTGGGACCAGCAGCAAGGCATCTCCTGAGATGAAGATGCCAGGAGCTGAAGTCTCACCTACTGAGTGCTGCCAATCAGAGGCTCTAGTGCTCAGCAGCGCTGGTGGCTGGTGCAGGAATGACAGGCTCTGGGGTCACTGGATCAAGGTGTGACCCTCACCACAGGTAAGTATCACAGGATCACAGAAATGTTACGGCACAGAAGGAGGCCGTTGGGCCCATCATGCCGGCACTGGCTCATTACATAAGCATCAGTGGCTCAGTGGTTAGCACTGCTGCTTCACAGCACCAGGAACCCACGTTCGATTCCACGTCAGGCTGTTTGGAGTTTGCACATTCTCCCCGTGTTTGTGTGGGTTTCCTCTGGATGCTCCAGTTTCCTCCCACAGTCTAAAGATATGCAGGTTCGGTGGATTGGCCATGCTAATTTGCTCATAGTGTCCAGGGGTATGTGGATTAGCCATAGAAAATGCAGGGTGATGGGTCTGGGTGCAATGCTGTTTGGAGGGTCAGTGTGGACTTGTTGGGCCAAATGGCCTGTTTCCTGTAGGGATTCTATGATATATGATTCATTAGCTAGCGTCAATCTCCAGCTTTTTTCACACATTCTTGCCCTTAAGATTACAAACATGGTTCCAGGAATGAGAAGCTTCAGTGATGAGGATAGGTTGGAGAAGTTGGGGCTGTTCCCTTTGGAGAGAAGAAGCCTGAGAGAAGACTTGATAAAGGTTTTCAGAATCATGAGAAGGGCTGGTTACAGTAGATAGGGAGAAGCTGTTCCCACTGGTAAAAGGAACAAAAACTAGAGAGCATCGATTTAAAGTGATTTGCAAACAAAGCAACTGTAATGTAAAAAAAACACCTTTTCAGTACTTAGGCTCTGGAATGCACTCTCTGGAAATGCGGTGCAGGTAGGTTCATTTGAAGCATTCAAGAAGGCATTGGATGGTTACTTAGATAATAATGGTATGCAGGGATATGAGAAAAAGGCATTCAGTCGTAGAACCAGTGCATCTCAATGGACCGAATGGCCTCCCCCTGTGCCATAATAATTCTGTAACTCTGCACATTATGTTTCTCCGAATAACCATCCAATGCCCTCTTCAATGCCTCAATGGAACCTACCTCCGTCACGTTTCCAGGCAATGCATTCTGTCCCCTAAGTACTGGCTGAGTGAAAAAGATTTTTCTCCCTTCACTTTTCCTTCTTTTGCAGGTCACTTTAAATCTATGCGCTCTTGTTCTACAAGCGGGAACCGTTTCTCCCCATCCACTCTATAGTGATATAGAGGGAAGGGGTGTATTTCACAGGGTGGGGGTCGCAGGGAGAAAGAGAGGTCAGGAAATGGTAACAAAGGGCAGGGAGTGGCTCTCATTCAGCACACACCCCCTCCCTAACGTCCCATCCCTCAATCAGACTTTTGAGTGCCTTTGATTATCCCCCTCAGGGGTGACCAGCTGCTTCACATGTTGCTCAGCAAGAAACCTGCCTGGACCTAGGTTAATCCCAACAGCGGCTAAACCAATTGTGAGCTGCCTGTCAGCTTGTGGATACTAGAGGCCCCAGTGGCACAATTATGAACAGGAGCAGGGGAGTTATGTCCATTGAATAACATCAGGTTTTTTTGGCGCAGTAGTGCTGCCCCACCCCTGGATCAAGCGACCCAGGTTCAAGTCCAACCTGCTCCACAGCTGTGTAATAACATTCTCTGAATAGGTGGATTAGAAAAATAGGTTAGTATGAAAAAAATCATTAAAGGCAAAATTGTGCAGATGCAGGAAATCTGAAACAAACACTGGAGAAACTCTGAAGAAGTCGTGCCAGGCTCCAATCATTCACTCTGTTTCACTGACCACAGATGCTGCCAGAGCTGCTGAGCTTCTCCTGCATTCTCTGTGTTTGTATGAGTTATCTCCATGGTTTTGGGCCAATACTGCAGCCCGCAAACAGCACCACAAGGGTAGGTTATCTGGCTATTAACTCACTGCTGTGCACGAATTAGTTGCCGTGATAGCTGCATTTCGATGGCGCCTCGTTGGCCGTAATGCACTTTGAGACACGCAGTGGTGACGAAAGGCACTACATAAATGCAAGTTTTTCTTTCATTGAGGATGACTAAATAGCTAGTCAATCCTTTCGGATAGGGAGCCGTCCCTTGCATCGCTGATTCAGCACAATGTCAAACAGTAGATTCATCCGCAGATGTTTCGGGATGGGGAGGGGGCGTTTATGTCATTTAAAGGCGGTGAAAAATCTTGTGTTTACATCCGAGCTGCTGCGTTTTTATCCCTCACCGTCAACGGAGGAGGAAAAAACAGGCGAGACATGAAGTGGAGCTAGCGTTTGTGTCAAAGATTATCATTTTTGTGAAAAAAAAAGAGCTTGAACGAGGGTTTGGTGAGGGGGGGGGGGGGTCCCAATGCTGTGTCGAGAGCTATTCAGGGAACGATGAGGCACTGGATGATCTGTTCACTGTAGAGCCCTGAAACGAGCTACAAGCCAGGCTGTTCTGCAGCCAGGATGGGTACTTTTGGACAGTGCACATCACACACAAAGACACCCTTTTTTTTATTTTCAGAGGCAGCTTCTGATACCTGGGGTTGGAAATAAATAAATGCTCTCTCACCCAGGCTGGGAGATGTAGCTCTGGGGAGGGAAAGATGACTAACTCTATTTAAGTTCCGAGAGTGCTGCCGTGCATCTTAATGCGAACAGGAGAAAGGAGAGGGGCTCTTAGGATGTGACTGATGTTCACCCCCAGCTTTCCCCCTGTGCTATCCTCCCGCTTCCAAGCAGCTGATCCTGAGGAAGAGGCACCGGAACCCTGCGTTTACACCGATCATGGCAAGTTCACTCACTTTGTGTTCCCTCCCCTCCCCGCTGTCTGGCTGGGGGTTTTATTTTTGCTGTATTGTCGGCGGGACCTTTGCAGTGAGAACTGTCCATTTCTCCTCTTCCCCCCTGTGATTGGATTAAAGCGAAGCCAGTCGCTGCGAGAGGACACTGTGAAGGCGTAAGCACTGGAGCGCTGAGTTTTAAGGTGTAACTGGGTAGCATTTGGAATTAAGTTGGCCGGCCGAGAGGGATTCTTGTGAAAGGAGGTCTTTGTTTTTTGGCTGATTTCCCAAGATTTGAGCAAACAGCAGGATTCCAACAACTTCCAGCCTTTTGAAACTTCAAAACCAAAATGCTGCTCGGTGAGTAAGCAACGGGAACTTTAAGCAGAGAGGATAATGGCATTTTTTAAAATGTTTTTTTTTCTCTGCTACAGCGGTACTCAGCGTCTGGTTGTACAGATAGCTGCCACACTCTGCAAAAGGCGTGCAGGCTTTTCAGTGCTGAGTGAGGTTGAAGCGAATTCAGCCTGAGTTCACTCCCTATGATAGAGAATTGCCAATTTCCGCAGAGCTTATTCTACTACAGCACTTAAGTGCTCATCGTCATACACACACACAAAGAGAAATATTTGGTAGAAGCTAAAACAGGCAAACCACTTCTAGGAATCTCATTTTACTGTAACACATTAGCAAGCTAGTTAGAAGCATGGCTCATTGTTGATCTGGTTAATCAGGCATAAGATGTTTAATAATCACTTAAAGCAGATATTAGTGTACCTCCAAATGCCTCGACAGATTGATTTTATTAAGGGCTTTCTACCGAAAGGACAGTTTAACATTGTCTGGTGGCAGCTTTGAGAGATCTGGGAATGGACAGTTGTGACCTTATCTGCTGGAAGTGTTTCAGCGAGCATCAACCCAAACCAGCAGCCGTCTGTACTAACATTGTAAACCAGATGTGACTGAAAGTGAACTGTACATATTCCTTTACTTTCAGACTTGTGTGTAAGTTGTTAACCACGGAACCTTACAACTGTCATTGTAAAACCACATGGTGGAGTTAAAATACTTTTCTTCAGTAAATAAATGATCAGTAGAATGTAGAAAAGGTATCGTTCGATCTGTAGATTGTATAGAACTGAAGGAAAAATGTGTGCTTATTTTTAACAATATAAATGTGAAACCTACCTGATGCTGAGTAGTTCATTTTCACCATTAAACAGCCTTTGATTAACATCCAGCCATGATGTCAGGCATGAGATAATAATCTTGAGTCATGTAGTTGCAAGCCATATAATGCCTTTTATTCAGTAAGGTAAAATAACCTGAGTGTGACGACATGCTGTTTCAAATGTAATGCCCACTAACAGCTGCTTGAAAATATCTCCCCGTTTCATGTTAGGACGGCTGTCTGGAGCCATTGGAGTGATGTGGGTGTATTGGCCACCTCCCCTCATATTATGCTATGTGTATGTCCTGCTTTCACCCAAAATGAATCTGAAACTAACTTCAAGTCAAGGCAGAGTTCTGAAGCAGTGCTATCTGGTTGCCACCTGTGGTTGGATATATTCCTGGAGGCCTCAACATTCAACCTAACCTATTGTTTCCCACCCCCTCATTCATACCTTTGGTTATTTGACACGTTGCTCCTCACAGTCTGCCACCTCCCCATGCCAAACGTAAAAGCAAACAGGCTCATAGTTACCAACTTGGATGTCAGTCAAATAGCTTTCTAAACTCGTCACCAACATCTTTACAGGTATCGATGAAAGTGGTTGAAGGAAATTAAAACAATCACAATTTTTTTTATGTCCACTTCGTCTTCCTCCTGGCTTGCTTGTCTGTGTAGTTAATCTTCCAAGGCACTTCTGGAGGGTTGGCACTTCTTGCTGCATTGTCAAAGGTGCTCTCTACTGAGCAGTGTAGCCTGCGAAATGTTTCCTGCCATGTTTACTGTCAGTGGGAGACAGTGACCAGTGGATCTGATACTGTTGCCTACATTTGCTAAAGCGTTTACTTTCCAAAAGCACTTCATTGCCTGTAAAGCACTTTGAGGCATGCAGTGGTTACGAAAGGTGCTATGTAAAAAATAAAAGTACACTAAGCATGTCCCTAAAACATGTGATAATGATAACAGAAAATGTTGAAAATACTGAGTAGAGCAGGCAGCCTCTGTGGAGAGAGAAACAGACTTAACTTTTCAGAAAGATCACTGACTTGAAACACAAACTCAGTCTGAGTTTAGCAAATGGTTGAGTGAACAATTATAAATATGAGTTATTGCTATGTAATTTCCAAACATATTTTGCCTTGAGTAATCAAGGTAGTGTGAGAGGGAGTTCACATTGGCCTGTAATGTTCCCTCTTTTGTATGCACTCTGTGCTGCTTACCCTTGTAGCTGAAGCTCTGGGCCAACAAGGAATGCCACTGTTCCCTGTACACTTGCTCAATTAGTGCTACAACTGAGTCATTTATACTTTCAATTGTATTCTTCATATTGTTTTTCTGGAGGCTGGCATTTTGTTTGTCACCTCAGTTTAAACAGTGAAGCTTTATGCAGTTCAACCATCAAAAGAAAATCTCTCCAAAGTTCAAACACAGGGCTTCAGAAACTAAAACAATGATAGATCTTCCAAATCTTCCGCTGCCCCCTCCCCTCCCAAACACCACTCCTGACCTACAAATGCCTAATTGGGTGCTGTATTCACACTAACAGGGCTGTCAGTTTCTTGGAGATTGTACTCAGATACTCCATCCAAGTTCAAAATGCTCCACGAGTTTATACAGTAATGGCTTCCAGCTCATCCCTTGCATGGGCTCACTTGTCACACCTGTCTGAGCTGAGGCCCTACAGGAGAATATTGAAAGTGAGAATATGAGTGACCATTCCGATGTTTTCATGGCAAGCTTTAGGAGGTCAGCCAGCATTTACATTGCACTATTGACCAGGGGATCAAATGGACAGGGCAGGATCCAGAATGGGGCTGATTGTGTCCTGAATGAGACAGTCCGATGGGACAAATAGCCTTCTGCCTTTCATGGAAGAAAATTGACACTCAGGAAACAGAAAGTAAGGTGTGGGAGAAGTCTAGAAGAGGAGAATCAGTGTTGATATTTCCTCACGACTGGAAAAGACAGGGAGAAGTCTCAATCAGAGATTGAAGCAATGGGAACCTTAGCCTTTAATGTTAAAATTCTGAAAAATTTACTGAAGGAAGACGGGCCAATTTCTGTTCTTGGTGTGACACATCTGGCTGCCAATTTCTTCCGATTCAGAACACCAACATCAAGGACAGGTGTAAGAAAGTGCAACAGGATGCAGTGGTGGGGGAAGCCTGGCATTTGTTGAATGTTTGCCTTTCATTTGTATTTCTGTAATTAATTTAAGCTTACATACTTTTTGGTAGCTCAGGGGAGATAGAGATTGGAGGGGGAAGAGAGATGACAAAAAAAACCATAGTATGATGAGGAAAATTACAGCATAAGTATTTACAAGAAGCTCAAAATATAGTCTTAAACTCACTTTCTCAATTAATTTGTGAAAATCGATTGTAATACTGGTTGTTCTTTTGAGGCAGTTCTAATATTTGAAATATGCTGAGCCAACAATTATCACAATAAATATTCAGAATCATTATACTCCAAAATGCAAGTATACTTGTACAATGTCAGTTCAGAAATTGTAATAAATTTCTTTTGTTACATTTCAGGCATTAGCTTTTCTTTCTATCCCCATTATTATGGAGTCTAGTGCAGAATAAGGTTGACATTTTAAGTTTTGGTTTCCTCGCATGAAGTTCAGAATTTTTCAAAAAAGCATAGTATACTTTGGCTGCTGGAGGAAAATAGCTCATTTCCTGCCTGAGAAAATAATGTGTGCACTTAAGTCTGTGCAGATAGGTGAGACTTTCAACATGCACTCGTCATGTTTAGTGTAAATGTGTGTCATTCTTCACAAGCCTATGCAATGGTGCGGTTCAGTTTTACAGAAATGAAAAGTAGAGTAACACATGTTTGATCAAAATCCATCGCCAAAACCGCAGTTTTCTTTCTTTGCAATATATATTTTAAAAATCCAAGATCATTTTCCTCCTTCCGACATGAGGGTTAACGCACAAAGTCATCTTTTGAGATTGCTCATGTCTGCACAGTCACGAGTGTATCCTTTGTGCAATATATCAGCAGTGTCAGGTGCTTACAGTTGAAATTCTGTGATACTACGTGATGCAGAGACATAAAAACAGCAGGTATTGGAGAGAAGATGTATTCTTGTGTTATCTGCAGCACGGTATTCCCTTCCCAACGTTCAACAGCTGGCAGTCAAATATAATGCTTACATGCATTATGCAATGCGTGCTGACCTGACTGTGTTCAACATTCAAATATTATGGTACACTAGGGTGATGACACTTGCTGAATAATTGTCTGGTGGTGTTTTACTCTGTGGGGTTGGGTTATGTTAGGACTGCAAGTGGTATTATCATCAGACTCATATCACCAGCAAAACTCACAATGGTGACAGAATTGAATGTCTCAAGCCAAATGCCTCCGCCTAACCCAGACGATGCCATGCAAAGTTCAAAATGCAGCAGCATTACATCAGGAACCATTGCATCTGAGATTTTGCCCTCTTTCGTGAAAACACAGGCAAGAGATTAACAAAAGGTTACTAAAATACACATACAAAAAAAAGAGCAGTGTGATTAAAAGCAAAACTATAAAGTTTCAGTAAATTTTTACCGTTTATTGACTTTTTGTCATAGCTGATTGCTAAATTTTACATCTGCTGTTTCACTGCTGTGAACTGAGTTTATTAGCCATCAAGTCAATCCAAACTCACTTAATGTTAATAGGACTATAGAGTGAAGTAAGATATAGTGAGCGTGATTAGAATAATGTATTCTGGTGTCAGCTCGATAAAGTGAGTGTTGTTGCATTCAATTTTGGCAGCTGCTTGGCTGGAGTACAACTTTTCTCCAGGACAGATGGATTTTACTAAGAAATTCAAATTGATTTGAAATGTCCATTTTCTTTCCTCCCAAGTATGATGACTGTGACACCATAGAAAAGACCAACTGCTAAACATAATGGCGTGTGAGGTAATGGGGCAGGATTTTTTCCCCTCAAGAGATGAGAAGGAGAAATCAGGACCATTCCCATGTCATTCCTTGTGAGTTTCAGGGTCCACCCTCCTTAACTGGCCAGGATCCCACCTCACTGTCCAATCAAAGGCAGGTTCTCAACTGGAGGTCTTATCAGATGCCTTCCAGTTTGAAAGGGATTGCAGGTTGTAATAGGGGCTGAGTAACAGAGAGGGTGCTTCAAAATGGAGGTGTCATCCCTCCAATGTTTTTAAATT